CAGTCAGGACACCCAGTCAGGACATTCAGTCAGGACATTCAGTCAGGACACCCAGTCAGGACACGCACTCAGGACACTCAGGACACCCAGTCAGGACAGCCAGTCAGGACACTCAGGACGCTCAGTGAGGACACTCATGACGCTCCCTCAGGGAGCTCGGTCAGGTTGCTCAGTCGGGATGCTTAGTCCACAGCGCTCAGTCCAGGACATTTATAGGGCACCTGTGGGGAAAGGAGGAGGAGCCCGTGGAGGGGCTCCACATCCTTGGTGGACGGCCAGACACCGGGTGTTGTGCTGGGTGTGTCCCTGGGAAGGTGTGAGGGTATGGCGTTTATTGAGGGTTTAAGGAATTTGGCTCGGGGTGGGGGCGAGTTTCTTTCAGTGCTTTGGGCAACAACTCGATACCTTTGTCAGGCCTGGGCGTGTTCAAGGCCCCAGTTTGGGTTCAAGCCTCAGGGGGGAACCCGCAGCTGGTCGGTCACAAGGCGGTCCAGGTGCTCCATGATTGTTGGTCTGGACACCCTACACCCTCTAGTGACTGGAGTCCTGTCTGCCAGCATTTGTGCTGTTAGACGTGCCGGGCGCTCAGGTGTGTGGACCAGCAAGCAGTGTCCTGAGTCTCCCCTCTGTTTGCAGGGAGCCCAGGTGGGGCCACCTCAGACCTGGGTATGGCGTGTGACCGGGCCAGGGTCTTCCTGCACGCAGATGAGCACCCCGGGAACTTAGTGGCCGGCAAGGTGGGTCCCTGCCTGTCTCTTTTCACCCCTCAGTGTTCTGCCCTCCCTGGCTCGCTAGTGCCTTGAGGGGCACGACCTATCCTCTGGCGTTGGACAGTCTGCAAAGGGTCGCCAGGCTCGGCCAAGCTTCCCAGGGCCAGTGCGATGTCCAGGTCTGGCCAAGCCCTGCATGCTTTCCTCACCACACGCCTTCTAACCGCTGGTATCTTTGTTCTTCTCAAGTCCAAGAAAAGTGTGATTGTTGCAGAGGTCCCCTCTGGGGCCTTCCACTACTCAGAGTCTCACTCGGATGAGACTGTCACCAGCAGGAAGACGGACACTATCTTCAGAGCAGCCAAGAAGGACCTCCTCACCCTGATGAAGCTGGACGTGAGTGCGTGGTCCCCAGGGCATCTGACCCCCATCCCCGCAGCGCCTGCAGCTTCCCCTTCTTTCGGGCACTGGTCCAGGCGTGGGAGGTGTGGCTGCAGGGGCCCTTGGGGTGGAGCACGGGCTTCATTTGCCATTTGGC